CGCAGATGAAGAAGTAACAACACAGAACGTGGCACCATATATTTCGCGATCCAACACAGTATAGGCCGATATGAGACCTTGCGAATCGAACGATCCGCTAGCGTCCGCGGTTGCGTCGCGGCTGGTACCGCAATGCCACCGTGAGCGAATCGCTATTAGCGATTCGCAAAGTCTGGCATCGTCCTAATATTGTTTCTTTTTGATCCCAAAATCATGTGTACGACTGGTATTCTGCAAAATTAGCAATACACTTAGCAGCGCTCGTGAAAATCGATATAGCGCTTTATCGTGCTGCTGTATAATATTTATTGCTTGCTAACTTACTTTTTTATTTATTTGGTTATTGTTTTCTAGTTAACAGCGATTAATATGATGAAAAAGTTGCTAAAAATTAACAATAGAGGGAGGTATTATAGTATAGAGGAAGGAGAAGTATGGAAGAAACAACACGTTTAAGACATGGAACGATTAAAATGTGATCCATCATAGGCTGAGCATATGTGGATGTTTAGGGAATGAGGAGCAGTGGCGGTGGTAGTAGAATATATCATAGTTCCCTGTTTGCTAAGTCTGTAAATACGGCCCACCCGAGTGCCGGGAACAAAGTGTTTAGTTGCGGGTGGGAGCCAAACGCTCCACTCCGCACTAGCACGGAGATTCCTAGTTGGTTCAGCCAGAAATTACCGCGTCACATTGGTTGGTCTCGATACACATATCATGGTACTCATTCACGTCCAAAAGTGGATGGAGACGAGCTTGATGGGATACGGTACCTTCGAGTTGAATTTGGCGCGGGTTTCACCCTCAATATGTACCTACGGTATCCCTGAAGTTGTTCTACAATATGGTTTTCGTATGTTTGAGCACTGAGCCGTCTTTGAAGAACCGATTGGTAACGAAGCGCTCAATCCACATGCGCTCATTCAGCTTCATGCCCCACACGCGACTGAGCGCTTCCGTTCGACGATGCCTAAGTGTTAAATGTAGCAGTTTCGCCGTGCATACCCGGTGACGCACATGGGCCGCAGCGTGTAAATGACTTGTACTCTATTTCAATCTCTTCTCTGGAGAAGCACTTCCCCCTTAATTCTGTGGCCAAACGAACTTTACTGGTTCTGATTCTCTGAAGAGCCTGGCGGAAGCAATCGAACTTCCATATAAGGTTTACATTATACCATAATTTGGGTGCCAGTACCATACCGAGACGAAGTGCGGGTAGACTGTGTTTAAGGATCCGCTCCCTGGACGGTACATAGGCCATACGGCACTTCTTTATTACTGTTTAAGTCGTACTCTTTTCCTATGTCCCTGTTCTTTTATCTACCCCATTTTTCTTCCCTGCCCCCTTTTCCCCTACAAATTATTGTGATAGCTCTTTTTTCCACTTGTCAGCGCCCCTTATCGCCCAGGGACTTCCAAAGAGCGAAGTTTGCTGTTCTTTGATAAAAATGGTCAGATTATCAGTTACTTTTTATTACAGCTGTAACATTAAGAGTGCTACCATAAACGGTCTTCATACATTGGAAGGCCGTTTCAAAAGCTCCAGCAGTACAA